AAACTATTTCACAAGGGTTTACTTTTGCCCTACTTGGCATACCTCCATGTAGTGTTTATTGGGCAACCTAGATAATGACAGGTCTTGGAACTTTCTGTGACGTGTCCTACAGGCATTTCACAGTGAATAGTCCAAACACGTCTTCTGGGCTTTGTTTCAATTTGAAAGTGATTAGTTGGATAAACTTGGCACCACAGCAGGTTTCAGTGTACCATTCGTTTTCCTTATTTCTTGTCTGCGTGTGCCATATCGTCGTGTTAAGTGTAGTTGTGAGGGTAATAATTTCCATTGCTGTCAGCCAGGAGAGAAGGGCAATGAGCAGGACTGAAAGTATTTGTTCTGCTCTATCTTTGTACCAGTCAGCAAATGTTAAAACTGTGGAAGGCCTGGCATTACTGAAACCGACAAAATCAACTGTATGTTGTTGGGGGGCAGGAAAGAATTAAGAAGAGGAACAGATTTTTCCCACTCTGAAATTCTTTGCTTTTCCCTGGACCTTCACATTTCTCAGTGTATCAAAAGTGACAATTTCATGAGTACATCACGCTGTTACATATTTTCAACTTTTATATTCTAAAAATATAACCAAGTGACTTTTATAAGAGCACTTAGAAAGTAAATATTAGGTTTGTTTCAATTTCTCTATGTTTCAGTTCTTCTTTCCTAAAACTAAAATCATAATGTTCTTTTCTGGATTTTCTCCTGGAAATTTTACATTCATTTGCAAATTTCAGCTGTTGATTGACCTGAGGCTGATTCCCTCTCCCTGCCCTATACTAATGCCAGTTCTGTTGTGCTCCAGGTTATTTTTTCAGTGGCTATAGGGAAAGGTTGAGTTGAGGAGATAAGTTATAGTAATGTCATTTTAAAGTTATATTTTAACCTAAAAGCTAACATAATTTCCAGCTAAAGAATTTCTTTAGGATCTGTTGTCTGTATTAATAATGTTAATATAAAATTCTAAAAGACTTCTGGTGTTGCCATGAACCTGACTTTTATTGAAAAGACTTAACATATTTCCATGCTCTCCAACTTAGAGGCATCTTCCTTCTTTTCCCTTAGTGCCTTGAGAGCTATTCAGACTTTAGGGTCACTAGCAGCCACCTCCATTTAAAGTTCTTTCAGTCCTGAGAGTCATCTAGGGCCAAGGGCAACACATGTTAGAAAGGCCCTCACGAGGATCAGGCCGTTATGACCTCCCCTTACACTTGCCCCACTTGGGAGCTCTTCTCTCCCACTCCCTGAAGACTTGCCTCTCTCCTTTTGGATTGGTTTACATTGACGTAAACAGCTGATGTGCAGTTGCCAGGCAGTAGTTTTCAGCAAAGTAGATCAGGCACTTAGTATCAGGCCTACCTGGAAAGACCAGAATAAGGACGTGTTGCATGTACACCACTATAACACATTTCTATTTCTATAGATTATGGTAAATAGCATAAAAGTAATATAAAGGTAAAAATCAGCTAAGAAACACTGAACCTCTAATCTAGACTTTGGAAACATAGTTAGCTTACCAAATTACAGGAGAGTTTGTATTCCGAGGATAATTAAATAGTTT